CCAGTCTCTTGAGATCTGGAACAGTGAAATTTTATGTTCCAGTGTTTACTTCTGACCTGTAGCCAAAGCTATGGAACTAAACTTTAAGTTCTTTCTCTGTGTCTCTGTACCTGAGGGGGGGAAGAAAAATCACTGGGTACATGTGAATCATCTTCTGACCTTCTGAGAGTAATAATAAATTAAAATGAAGGACCTCTGTCCTGATTGGTTTACAGGGACTAATTAGCATGTAGATAAAACTAACATTTTCAAAATTCAAAGAAAATAAAATGAAATTCTAAAAATTTAAACATGTTTATGGTTAAGAGGAAGAACTTTCGCATCAAAAAATGCTGATTTCAGAAGCAAGAAAACAGGTTTACATGATCAAAACAAATTCTCACACAAGTCAAAGTGATTTGACAATCTGGTTTAAAAAACAGCTATATGTCTTTTCCTTGTTTTATCAGTGTATAATATAACACACACATAATTTCATATTTAAAATAAGTTTGGATTTGTTTTATCCTAGAGATTAGCTAAAAAATTTTTTTAAATTTTATTTTAATGTTTACTTACTTTTGAGAGAGAGAAAGACACAGTGAGCAAGGGAAGGGCAGAGAGAGAGGGAGACACAGAATCCCAAGCATGTTCCAGGCTCTGAGGTGTCAACACAGAGCTTGATGTGAGGCTCGAACTCACGGAGCGTGAGATCATGAACTGAGCCGAAGCTGGACGCTTAACTGACTGAGTCACTCAGGTGCCCCTAGTTTAGCTGAAATTTTTAAAATGTCTTATAGTATTAGTTTACTGAAAAGATAAACTAAGGTTATGTTTAAGATTAAGAAAAATATAGAAGTTGTATTCAACTAAACTGAATGATCATTGTGGCACACCTTTTTATGTCAATAGTAATTATGTTCTGTGATGTGTCAGCTTAAACATAATTTCCAATATCTGTAAGTTATGTACTATGGTCTTAAAGTATCTGGTTGTTCCAGAATTGAAAGAAGACCATGGAGAACAAAAGTTGCTAAAAATTTTTTAAATTGTAGGTTTGCACGAAGGGAGCTTTATTTGACTTGGTTGATAATACTTGCAAATAGTAAGTCTATAAAAATGTAATTAAAACGGTCAAATTTTGGCAAAGCTTGCACAACTGTGATGGGTTTACTCATAAAGTAATTGTTTAAAAAATGTATTGCATGACAAATGCCCTATTAACATAAAACTAAAACGCAGTTATCTATATTGGAATGATAGACTGATCTTGGAGAAATCAGCCCATGCTTATGAAAGGTAACAGAAGGTTATTTTCCTATATGATCTGCCCAGAGAACAGAGATGCAGTATCTCACAAGAGTAACTTTTTTGTGCTTTGTGCTGAGAGATATCCCTGAATATTTAAATGCCAAAAAATTCCTCATTTCCTAATTATTTAAGATTTACTCTTTATCACAGAGTAATCTATTGTTGCTTTATTAGGTAGGCAAATTGCAAATATTCATTGTTCTTAGGCATCCACAATCCTTTATTAGTCACGTAACGAAATTACCTCTGATTAATATTTAATTTTGTCTTCCCGAAATCAGACCCTAAATTCAGGAAAAAAAAAAAAAACCAAACAAGTTTTTCAAGGTATCTTTTATATATGAACTAACCCTAAGTTTCCCAGAGGACCTGTGGCGAGCGCAAGATTTGTTCCTTGACCTATCAAAAGAAGAATGTTGGAAATAATTAGGTTTGCTATGCCCTTTATTGATGAATAGCTCAACACCATCAAAAATGGCATAGAAAGATTTGTCAAATCAAGTGAGGAGCTCATCCTTCCCTAGGCTAATGTTGTACAGGTGAAATATTATAATATATATTAAGTCCAGAGATGGTGCCCTTTACAGAAAGGTCTTGGATATATGCCAATGTCCTCATCCTCTATAATATGTTCTTACCCTCAGGGGAAATGCTGATTAAATAAGTCCAACGTCCTATGCCCCGACAGAGGATTTTAACTCTCCTTGCTTATACCACTCATTAACTTCACCACAGATTAACCATAGCTACTTACTCTTACCCTTACCGAGTGGTCTCTACTTTCCTCTCATGTTTGCCTAGACACTTGGCTGTAAGTTATAGACTGCATCATGCCTTCAACAAAGAAAGAGTCTCAGAGCCTTGGGGATAGGACTTTACCAGATACTCTTTCTTCACTCTTGAGATTTCAGAGAACAGACTTGTGGGTAGAGGTTTCTGAGCTGACACTGCACAGACAAGCATGAGACGGCACTAGGCGGCTAACTCAGATTTTCAGGACTTCTTTTAGTCCATAAATAGATGACTTTGTGAAATCAAACTAATGACTCAAGATGCAGAGGAGTAAGAATTAATTACATAGAACTCATCGAACTGGGGGCGCCTGGGTGGCGCAGTCGGTTAAGCGTCCGACTTCGGCCAGGTCACGATCTCGCGGTCCGGGAGTTCGAGCCCCGCGTCAGGCTCTGGGCTGATGGCTCAGAACCTGGAGCCTGTTTCCAATTCTGTGTCTCCCTCTCTCTCTGCCCCTCCCCCGTTCATGCTCTGTCTCTCTCTGTCCCAAAAATAAATAAACGTTGAAAAAAAAAATTAAAAAAAAAAAGAACTCATCGAACTGATACTAGAAATCCAATTGCCATATGCATTGTGAAAAATCATTGGCATTATGTGTGATGTCCTATTGTCTGATGGGGAAAACCCTGTAGCATCCACCTTCATCTATCTCTAACCCTCAATTTAGTTGACTTTGATTTTGCAAACAAAACGGAACATTGTTTTCAATGGTAATTTTTTCTCCTTGGTGCCTCAGAATTCCCGAAGAACTGTATTTTCTAAGTCACTTTATTTTTTAATTGCAATAACATTACTTGCAGAGGCTCAATGAGAATCTATCTCCCCTTTTACTGGGATGTAATCAAATAGAAAGCAGCAGAGGCCAAGCCCAGAGCGTCATAAAAATAAGCCTCATCTCATGGAGTATGACAAAGCCCATTATTGAGGCACTGGCTTTACAGGCAGTAAGGAAGGTTACTTCCTGGACTGCCAGGAACTTTAGCAGATTTGGGAACACTAGAGGAAACAGAAATTCACCAACACTTAAAAGTGCTAAAAATGAAACGCACTGGAGGTGATGTTTGTTTGTTTTTGAGAGAGAGAGCATGCAGAGAAAAGGTCCGAGGGAGAGGGCGAGAGAGTATCTTCAGCAGACTCCATGCCCAGCATGGAGCCCAATCTCACAACCGTGTAATCATGACCTAATCAAAATCAAGCATTGGATGCCTCACCAACAGAGCCACCCAGGCACCCCTGGAGGTGGTTTTTGAGGTTGGTTTCCTGCCCTTGGAACAGAAGAGTGACTAAGATCATCTCAGGAAGATCGCTGGGGTGAGGGAAGACACTGAAATGCTCTCCTAGATTCCTTAATAAGTCATCAGATAGAAGCTAATTTTCTGACTTCATTAATAATAGTTGTTCAGGGATGAAAGGTAAAGCATAGGGAATATAGTCAATGGTATTAAAAAGTTGTATGGTGACAGATGGCAGCTACAGTTGTGGTGTCCATAGCGTAACGTATAGATTTGCAAAATCACTATGTTGTACCTCTGAAACTAGTGTAACATTATGTGTGAATTATACCACACTAAAAAAAGCAAGAGTTGTTCAGCACAACATTGAGCCAGGTTTGCTATCCATTACATAAGAAGGTCTCTTAGGTGCTAATTAAAACTTTTTCTGAATTTATGTCAAAGAATCAAGCCCAAATACAATGCCTTTTTGTGACCACGAAGAATCGCTGGAGATTATTTATGACCACAAAGGGAACCGTCGTATTGGAGTGCCATCTCACAGACCCACCCAAGGAACTTAGACTTCTGTAAAGGTACTCACATTTGTTTTCATTCCCAATTACTGATCAGGATATCTGTGAGGATAGATATTAACCTACCAAAACTACAAGCGATGCAAACGACTCTTTTTCTAAAATTCCAAATGAATCTTGTTCCGTATGGATGGAAATGGCTTCTGTCCACTACAATCCAAACGTTACAATTTTGTTGTCCTGTAGGACATTATTGACTTTGGTCTGTGGTTCAGAAATCCTATTCCAGCATACTTTCTTTCAGCAACTAAAGCTTGATACTCTGACACTTTTGTAAACTCAGCTTTATCGTCCTGCTGCATCCCTCATTAAGGAACAACTCATCATTAATGAGTTAAAATAATCTCTGACCCTGTTCATCCTGAAAAACAAATAAACAAAAAGGTCTATGCTTAAAAGAAAAAAATAATAAGAATGCGGTTAGTTTGTCCTCATTCATTAACAGGACTCTCAAGGGATGTTTTCTCTTTTCTCTATCTTTTCAGTATTTTCCACAATAAGCATAAATCCACTTTAAGTAGAAAAAGACAACTCAAAAAATGTTTCCGTGTGTGTAGTTGGGGGTCACTGTATGTACTAGGAGGCACTGCTGAAGGGAGGATGGGGGTGGTGTGTGTATGTGTCCAGGACAGAAAAAAGGTTGAGCAACACTTAGCCAACCTTTCGACCTTCCAGACAACATGCTATTCAGAAAAATGTATTGCCTAATTCCCAGTGAGTCATGATTTCACTGCTTACTTCTATCAGACCATGCACATGGGAATTTGATGACATCAAGGATAGAAGTCAGGGTTTACTCACAGTATTCATGTTTGTAAGACTTAGAAGAAATACAGTAAAAGGCACAACTACCTTGTTACATTGATCAAGAATCTACGCTTGAGAGGACTCTGCCGAGCAACTTAATTCAACACTAGGGACAGGGAGGCCTTCAAATACCCGCACGTGGCCACTAAGAGTGACTGAGAGAAGGAAGGACAGCAGAATTCTAGAAAGGCACAGCCGCGGCTGCTGCACTTGGACATCCTCCAGGCCCACACATATCCTTGGAGTGTGTCTCCAAGAAGCCGCTCAAGGGAACAGTGAGGTCAAGCCAGATGAAGAAGATTACCAGTCGCTCCATTTCCTGCTCCCTGAGTCTCTCCTCCCTCTGCCGCCGGTGATAATCCATCAGGTCTTCGCGGCCTGAAATGGAGCTGATGCTGCTTTTCCTTTCCCGAAGGACAGGCTGGGGGGTTCCTGAGGCCTGTCTGAGGCTGTCCAGATCCGCATCATCGAACTCGACAGATCCACAAGAGAAATTCCTCCTGGTGGCAAAGACTCTGTCCGGCTCTCCAGGAGAAAACAGATGACCAGGGCCGGGCCCCGGATAGGAAGCCCTGTCAAGGTCATCGGAGGTACAGGAGGAGGTGGAGGCCAGAAGCATCTTCCGAGCCACTCGAGGACTGGCAGGGACGCTGAGGGTGGAACTTACATAAGGGTTGCCCTCAGAAGCCGAGGGTTTATAGGGTAAAGCCCCTGAGCTCAAAGAAGAGAAATTCAGGTAATTGTCATTGTCTACGATGCTGTGAGGTAGATCCTTTTCCCCCAGTTTCGCTCGTTTGGAATTGCCCAGGGAGTTTCTGGGAGGCAAAGTGAGGGGTGTCAGCTGGTTGTCTGTGGCCCTGTGTAACCTGGGGAGAGAGCGGCTGTAGGCCCCCATGTGACTCAGGCTGCTGCCCGAATACTTCCTAGTTCTTAAACCCATGCTTTCAGATGCCGGCTCCTTGTGTCGGGTCAACTTGGGCTGAAGTGTCAGGTTGTCCTGGCTGCTCATTTTCCTGGCTTGCTTTGGGCTTGAAGGCATGCTTGCCGCCCCCGATCTGCTGATGGGAGAGAAGCCGGTGTCGCTCAGGGGACTTCCATTCCACATGGCCAGGAGTGAACCGGACGCCTTTCGGCCTTCTAGCCCCCCGAGAAAGTAGACATTGTCATGGGATTTATTCCTTGAGCTATATTTGGAATAGGGAGGCTTCTCTGCGAGCCTCAAGGACCTTTCACTGTCCCTGCCGGTATAATGATCAAAGTCCGCTCTCCCAAGTGGATACCCGCTCAGGGATGGGGAGGTGCTGAGTAGAGGGGTAGGTGGTTTCAGGGAAAGGCTTTTGTCAGTTGCATCACAGGAGAACTGCTTGCTTCCTTGGATTTTGGCCAGGGAGGGGCTACTCCTGACACTCGTTCCCAGAGGGGAAGGGCTTCTCTTAGTAGGCACAGGCTGTGAGAGGGTTAAATAAGAGCCAGAATAGTCTCCATTGGCTTTAAATCTCAGACTGGAAGAGTATTTCTTGGGGCTCAGGCTCTCCATCACGTTTTGGGAATCGTCTTCCAGGGAATTTGTCACAAAGCCTGCCTCGAAGCTACCATTTTGTAAATCAAGCTGCTTTTGCACGTGGCTATGCTCTGCCATGATCTTGCTGGAATCTGTCAAGGAAAAAGAAAAAAAAGTTTTACTTTAACAAAGAAGACTGAAAAAGACCAAGTATTTGTCAGCCTACATCTGAACAAAAACAGCCTTACAGTCTGGCCTGATGTAATTAACAAACACAAACTCTGGTTTAGTAATAAACCTAGGTTTATTACTAAAATGAAGAAGCATAATGAACATTGATCTGGGATGATTTTTGTGCAAAAGAAAAATAACTCAAGAGGCCATCAATGACATTCGGGAACAAATCTCTAACAAAGTACAGGTGCAGGATTAGGCTGATCCATAAAAAAGACAATTTCCCACTAGCGTTCCAGTCCTTGGTGGACCACCTGCTTCCTGAGTACCAGGCAAACACCCAAAGTGGTGATGCAATGGACCCTCCTTTGGATGTCTCTGCTAGAATCATTAACTGTTCAGAAGTCAAGTCCTGCAGGACAAAATTCACATTCTGGCACACAAAGAAAGTTTCATGCTAGACACTGATCAGTAATATGAGGGTCAAAAGATGACTCTTGGGCACCTAGGTGGCTCAGTGGGTTGAGCGTCCAACTGTTGATTTTGGCTCAGGTCATAATCCCAAGGTTGTGGGATTGAGCCCCACGTCGGGCTTCATGCCGGGCATGGAGCCTGCTTAAGATTGATTCCCTCCCCACCCACTCTCTCTCTTCCTCTGCCCCTCTCCCCTGCTTGTGCTCTCTCTCTAAAATAAATAAAACAATGGGGCGCCTGGGTGGCTCAGTCGGTTAAGTGTCCGACTTCGGCTCAGGTCATGATCTCGCAGTCTGTGGGTTCGAGCCCCGTGTCAGGCTCCGTGCTGACAGCTCAGAACCTGGAGCTTGTTTCAGATTCTGTGTCTCCCTCTTTCTCTGACTCTCCCCTGTTCATGCGCTCTCTCTCTCTCTGTCTCAAAAATAAATAAATGTTAAAAAAAATTTTTTTAAATAAAATAAATAAAATGAAAAATAAAAAATAAAAAAAATAAGACAGCAGATGACTCTTTAAAAGGGGCTATGAGAGTTACCTTCTGAAAAAAGATGTCATAATGCTCCTGTACCCATCAGAAAAAGGCAGGTAATTAAGGAAACAGAGGTAAGAGTGCTCCTGAAACTACTGCCATATTAGGGTAAGGAGGCAGTATTTAAAATGTGAAAATGGGAGTATTCTTTCAAGCTCTTGGTACCCTAATGAATCATGCTCATCCTTGATCTCACACTCTCTCCTCTTGTGGAAATGCTTTTCTCTGTCCTTTGCACTTATCTGAACACCCCATTCTTCAAGGCTCAGATTAGGATTCTATATTCCATGCTTACCATTTTTTTAAAAACCTATGTACCCATAAGAGTATTTTGGACTCTAGTGTGAGTAACAACTTAAGAAAATAAAGTTTTAGTTTATGAAAATAAATACAAATGATCACTGCAAATAGAAGGCTGGCATTTGTAACTGATAAAGATATGTATTTTTTAGATTACCGCCAAAGCAAAAATACCATTTGCACATCCTCATTGAATTCACGCACTTCTGACACTGTCCAACATGTCAGGTTCCTCACACACTAGTTATTACATCCCTCGTCTCTATGTGAACAGTGTTGCTTATGGTTAGTAATCAATTTTAATAATGTGCTTGTTTCTGTACCCAGGCCACAAGTTTAAAAAAGGGGAATTTCTAGTGTTCCTATCTCATTTCCAACCTCTCTTGATTCACACCGACCCGTTGGTGAGATACTCAATGAACACAAGTTTTCAATTTCAGTTACAGACTTCCCCCCTGCCTCCTACCCAGAGATTGACGATTTTGCCTTGGTTACCTTCCCAGAAAGATCCAGGCAGTATAGTAGGGAACTGCTTCTTATCCAGACCGGGGGCCAAGAAACAGTCTAGGTGCTTTTATCCTATTGATGAGCTAGGTACACAACATCTTGTAAAGTTCAGCTTCCCCAACAAGCTCTGCCTTGGGTTCCCTTTCCTCCAACCCGAATCCCATCCTGATTGATTAAAAGCAGGATTATCTTTAAAATTTTTTTTTAATGTTTTAACTTATTTTTGAGAGAGAGAGAGAGAGAGAGAGAGAGAGAGAGAGAGAGGCAGAAAGAGTGAGGGAGGGGCAAAGAGAGAGGGAGACACAGAATCCAAAGCAGGCTCCAGGCTCTGAGCTGTCAGCACAGAGCCTGACCCGGGGCTCGAACCCAAAACGCGAGATCATGACCTGAGCTGAAGTCAGATACTCAACCAACTGAGCTACCTAGGCACCCCAAAAGCATGATTATTTTTTGAAGTAGGCCTCAAAACAAAATAAAACAAAACTGAGAGTCTCCTTTAAAACTGCCTCCCGGTTGGAATGTGGTCATGCCATCTGGCTTTGATCAGGTCTTTCATTCTTCAGGGACAGCACCATCTCTGCCCCCAGGACAAATGTCCCTCTGAGCAACTGTCTGTGACCACCAGCTATGACCTTGAAAGCCACATGAGTCCAGTTTGGGACATACCTCACTCTGCCCCCTTGGAGGATTGAAACCAAGATGACCTGCAGTCATGATCCTCTCTGTTCTCAACCAACTTCATCTCCGGCTGGTTTGCCATGCTGAAAATCCAGCAAACCTTGGCCAATTCTCTCAGGTTAAATAGTTTTGAATGGAAGAAACAAGGAAATAAGTGGGTCCTGAGGACACTGCGGTGTTAATATATTATGGTGGGTGGGGGGAAATACCCTAAATGCCTAACAACAGGGAGAAAGTTTAATAAGCTATCATACTTCATATGAATGAATATTACACAACCATTCAAAGTAATTATTTTGAGGTACTTTTAAAGTTTTATTTATTTATTTTGAGAGACAAACAGAGAGAGAAAGGATGGGAGAGGGGCAGAGAGAGGCAGAGGGAGAGAGAGAATCCCAAGCAGGCTCCGTGCTGTCAGCACAGACCCCAACTTGGAGCTCGAACCCACAAAGCATAAGATCATGACCTGAGCCAAAATCAAGAGTTGGATGCTCAACTGACTGACCAACCCAGGTGGCCCTGAAGTGTAATTTATAGCATAAAAAGTACATTCATACAATATTCAGTAAATTTTAAAAGCCATATATAAATGAGCTCAGTTTTCTTATAGGTACGCCCACCCATACACACAGATTACAGACAAATGCTCAGGCCAGAATTCTGGGAGTCATCATTGATATCCGAATCAGTGTCTTCTCCATCAATTCTATCCCTGGCCTATCATGTCCTTCCTCCTTTTGTCCATCAATAAATCTCATCAACATTGTCCCTAAAACAGCAGTCTCAATCTAATCATTTCTTACCATTTCCACTGCCACCCCCCATTATGAGCCAGTATCTTCTCTTGCTTTGTCTATATGCCAAGAACAACAAGAACAACAGAATGGAAGAGATCATGCCAAAAAGTTAGTAGTGGTTTTATCTGGGTAGTGGTATTACCAGTGATATTATTATTATTATTATTATTATTATTATTATTATTATTATTTTAGAGAGAGAGGGAGTGCATGAGCAGGGGAGAGGGGCAGAGGGAGAGACAGAGAGGATCTCAAGAAGGCTCCATGCTGAGAGTGGCTCAATCCCACAACCCACGATCAATCAAGAGTCGAAATCAAGAGTTGGGCCATTCAACTGACTGAGCCACCCAGGCATACCTACCAGTGATTTTTAATTCACCTCTCATACTAGTTTGTACTTTCCACATTTCATACAACCTGAGTTGTTTTGACAATTAAGGAGGGAAAAAATACTTAATGTGAAATACTAGAGTATATATAATCTGTGGCAATACTGCTCTTTTTTAAATTTGCATGTATTTTACTTTATTTTATTTCAGATCTTTGAGGTGCAATTGACAGATAAAATTGTAAGATATTTAAAAGGCACACTGTGGTGATGTGATGTACATATATGTTGTGAAAGGATTCACCATCTGGTTCGTTAACACACCCACCACCTCACACGTATGTGTGTGTGAACATTCAAGTTGTAAATGACTTGGTAAAAGGGTGAAAACTTTCGGCCTTAAGTTGGATGTCTGGGGATGTAATGCAAAACGTGGTGACTATATTACAGTTGAAAACATTATTATGTAATTGAAATTTGCTAAGTAGAACTTAAAACGTTGTCAGAAGTACTTCATGTTTAAATTGATTAGGTCCTCATTCTTCCTAAGTTCTTGTCGAGCTGTTGAGCGAGATCGTAACTCTTGTAAAAAAAAAGGTTCTGTTCTAAATGACTCAGGCAAAATGTTAATTGTGCAAATTTACCCATTCCATACTCTCTTAATCTGAACAACACAACAGTTTTCCTGATATGAGTACAGTGGACAGAGTGGTTACTGAAAAAGTCCCACAAGTTTGCTGAACACAGCTGGGACAATAATATTAGTATCCTCATCTTCTAAAAACTGTAGTTGACAGGATACATACTTGAAGTGGTTCTGCTTATTGTACAGAAAGAAATTAAAATCCCAACACAAAGCTTTAGGTACTTCATTCCTTAGGTGGCTCTTAGGTGCCCATCGTGTGTCAGATATTGATTCGGTCCTGTTCTCCTCCTGTCAGAAACAAAGCAGTATTGCTCTTCTACACCCTGTAACATTGGGATACGGCTGTGTCTCTGGCTTTGATCAAGGAACTAGGAGAGAAAGGGAGACGTCAGTTCCAAGCTGAAACATTAAGAGCTGGGGCATGATTCACTCTTTCCATCCCTCTGCTGAGACGGCTAGCATGCATCCAAGTCTGTACCCCTCAGTGAGGACACCGTGGAACAGGACCCCTGCCAACCCAAGATGGTCTTAAGCCACTGAGATTTGGGAGTTGTTTGCTACCAGGAAGGTGTTAATCTTCCTTAAGTTCTTACCATAAACTAGGCTCTCAAGCTGAGTACTGGGAAGTATGTGGTCAGACACCACTTCCTGCCTTACACGGCTTATAGTCCAAGGGGAGAGACACTCATATGAACAAATGATTGCTCTTAAGACACATGCCT